GAGACAACGATTGTCGAACACCTGAAGACGTCTCAGGTCCGCTGCTCGAATAGGCCAAGTCTCACAGCCATACAACAAAACAGTCCGCAATGTAGCTTGATACACACGTCCCTTCAGATTCAGGGATAAACCATTCTGACGCCATAGGTGTCTCAAATTAGCCAAAGCGGCCCGAGCCTTGCAGATTCGTGCATTCACCTCATCTGTCACACTACAACAGAACTAATACAACTTCTGAGATATGTAAAACGCTCCACAACTTCCAGTACCTCTCGCTGGATTGTAAGTGGCGTGTTCAGTGACTGCACGTCCACAAACATGACCTTACACTTTGTGGGTGCAAAGTGCATACCAAAGGACGGGATGACCTCGGTCAGTTCATCCAAAAACACCAATCAACACAATCAATGGTTCTGAGACAACGATTCGCGAATGGTCTGTATCCACCCGTGTTCAAAGGAGACGGAGATCCACCTAACAAAGCTCATCGGTTCTACATGGAGCGAAGAGAAAGTGCCTGCAGAATGGGGCACGTCAACAGTTAGCCCTATTTTTTTTTAAAAAAGTGTATGCATTCACTACAAGAATTTTCGTTAGTCCAACCTATTTTTCTGTGTTTTTTCCACCACTTTGAATCCTGGGGTAATGAAACATCGACAAAGTGCTGATGAGTGAACCCATCTTTTTAAAACACACGCATTCGGGTTGGAACATTAACTCGACCTGCCTTGTGGAATGTGCCCAAGAGTTGCGGTCCTGCGATCAAATCCTGCTTTCATCCGATTCCCCAGTCGTGGGCTGTCGAACAGTTTTCAGCAACCTTATGAGTAGTTTCCTTCATGAAAATATACTGCGATATCTCGAATATCGTGCCAACTGAAACCTGAGACAGCCTGTGTGCAGCACATTCAGTTGTAGAATATCATAAACAAGAGATTCTGTTGAGTCTCCCTTTAAAACCATATTGATTTGCGAATTAGTGTATTTCTCGAAAACAGTGCAATTTGGGTTGAAGTAGATGATAAGGTTGACGGAAACTCGGGGACTGTGCCTACCTGATGAGCCCAAAGTGGAAGGGCGAAACCAGTCTTGGGCTGTCGAAGAGTTTCCAACAACCTTGTGAGTAGTTTCCTTCATGAAAAGAGATCTTATTTTGTGTAATGCGTGAAATCTATCCTCGCTCCCCCATTCACAAACCCTGTTTTACGTGTTTACTGGTGACAATTTGCAAACAGGGGAGTCAAGTTTGGAATGCGGGCAAGTCAGTCTATATGTTTGGATCTGTAGATCGATGGCCATGTTTTGGCGAGATAGACCTCGCATGGCTACACTGTCCTACCTAATGACCAAAGGACCGAGGCGGTTTTCCGGAATCGGCGGAATGTACTCACTGTTCTATTCTACGAACAAAGTGTCCACTTTGCCCCGCACACATTCCGAACTGCTGGAGAACGACCCTGTCAAGCGCGCCACCCGGTACCCAGCTATCCCTTTTTTGTGGTGTCTCACGGTTGTGTATGCGCTAAGTGTGCAGAAAAAGCTGGTCGCGTCAAAAAACAAAGAAGGATTTCTGTAGAATACAGGCGCCCATCAAGCACATCACTTAGCTGTCTTCCAATTATACTCTTTTTCTCCCACAAGTCTCTGGTTAGATCGGTGATTAGGCTTCGAAAAGCTTCTGTATATCTTTGTGTTTCTCCCAACAGTCTTTTCGAATGCTCCATATTGAGTCTGTATGTGGCCTTGCTCAAGGTCATTCAACGCTGATTGGCGTGTCATATTCTAGTTTCGTCCGGAGAGTAGTCATTAGTCATGTCTTGAATGCAAGCACCAGATGATCATCGCTCATACTTAGCCACGAATTCGACCGATGATGCATAAGTGAACACTACTCTACCCAATCATTGTCTTCGATCTGGTCTCAGTACTCAAGTTCTTTTAGTGTTGACCGTACTAGGAAGGGGTAGCCTGTCCTTACATCTAGTGACTTCAATGAGGGAAAGATCAAATTCCGGAATAACCTTTTTTGGGAGCCGTGATAACCAGATATATAAAAAAAATCCGGTACCAAGATGGCGTCAGAGGAGGCGTCAGTCTGACAGCAAATCAAAGCTTGTGTAACAGAATCTGTTCAACCTGGCAGTTTGTTTTGGTTTGACAAAGAAGTGCTCCGGGGGCTTGAGAAACGGATCATGTTATAAGCTATAAAATGGGGCTACTGGTTTTAGCGCGCCAGACAGTTTATTCGGTCCGGTACTTGCAAGGCGATATGAAGGGTTTGACAACCGTGACATGGTAACCATGTACTCGGCCAACTGCGCATTCCAACACGTCCAAAAGGTTAGAAAAAACTTACGTGTAGGGCAAGTACTGATTGTTTACGTGAAACATCTGACTGCTGCCAAAGTGGCATACTGGGGAATGATCTTCTAGAATATTCGAACTCGATTTTTTCCCGTCACATACACGTGGGCAAAACTGGCTATTTTTTTCGACTGCCCTTTCAATCAGGTTTGTTCGGCCTGGATTAGTTTTTTATGAAACAAGCGCGTAAGGAAAGACTCCAGGAAAGGGCGGTATCCTAGCAACAAGAGTGAACATTTCTCCGTTTCCTTGCGATCTGTTATTTCCTGCCTTCGTGACTTCGATAAAATTCGTTCTTCTGGATGAACCCACGAACAGAATTTCTTCAAGCCGGAAGCAACTGCTAGGTGCATTTCTACTGGAAGTTTTCTGTAATGACCTTAGTGTTTCTTTTAAAACAATGTCAAACTGACTAAATAAAAGATAGTACAGATCCCGTGATGGAACATTAGTCCAAGGAACACGATCTTTGCCCAGAAATCTGTGCTACGATGTCATCCGAAGCTCAGGAGCTAAGAAAAGTTCTCAATGGACAACCGACCAATAGACGGTAGCAGAGAAGATCGAGCTCGAAGGTCACGTAGTGATTGTCCAATCGGGACACTTGACAACAGACTAACCAATGGCCGAACAACCTATGCTAGTGAAAGATTGGCCGCGGCACGTGGATAACCACGCTCAGTACCACTCAACTCACAATCAGCGAACAAACTGCGCCGGATGACATTGGACGGAGAAGTGAAGACACTCAGTGATCTCATATTCAAACGTCACCTTCAGGACTAATCGTCACAAAACCTTGGGTAGGATCTGAAGGCATTTTTGTCTTTGAGCTTGCTGACACATCGCAGTCGCTTAATTCCTGCCCTTTTAATTGGTTCTAAGGAGCCACGGTATCTTCGAGAAACCATAAATGCGGAGGTTGTCTGTACACAACAGAACACGAACTAACCAATAGGACTTGTCGAAGTCTTCTAATTGAGCTAGCTTCCTACCAAAGTGGCCCAATCGTGACTGGTCTATATTCTAGCCAATCAAAGCACACCATACATAAAATCCATGGATCCCAATAGGGCTACTGAAGTCATGCGTGGTGAATTTCTATTCCGTATCTCACTAGCGCGTGCCTTAGAGTAAAGTAAGTACAAGAGACAACGGTGATACAGCTGTTTTTTATTAGCTGGTCATGACTGTCTTACCGGTTCACCCATCATGCATGATCAGAATGAAGGTCACACAATTAATGGGCATCAGCCGATGCAGATGCTTGATCTCAACGTGTCGGGCATCGAGGGGCAGAGAAACACAATTAATAGGGGTTTTTCGCCTCTTAGCAAAGCTATCAAGTTGAAGTAGGGTCTGCCCCCGTTGCAGTTGGAAGGTGGCGGAACGGAAGAACACGAAATCAAGGCTCCTTCCTGTAGATTGTAGAAACTGATGAACCAGGACAATGAATCTGGAGAAGTGTCTGTGTGAACTAACACTGAAGACAATTGCGGGGGATACCTGTCCTTGGGCAGCAAACTTTCGCGCCAGGGTCACAAAAACGTAAGTATGGGTGATGAGTTGAAGAAATTCACAGAATCACCGTCTACACTGTAACTCTTTAACTGTAAGAACTCAAACGCTGTCTGTCTCCCTTGTTTTCTGCGAAATGTGAAAGCCCTATTGGAACTCGACTGATCCCATCCTTTGTTCTCCCATTTGCCGCACAGTGCGTTTACAAGCGGTATGCCCCTCACGCATTCGCAATGGATAACTACGTTTGCCAATGTACTGAGGGATTTTTCTGGAATAACGCGGAAAACGTAAGTTTGTCTCATCTGTTTGCCTTCATTTTCAGTTTTTTAAAAACGTTTCAAGCATAGTGCAACCCTTCCTCGATGAGTGTGCCCTCTCAGAGGTCAACTAACGTGGATAGTACACTACAGAAACCACCTGGCTTCTAAGCTCCTTCAGATGGACACGTTGACCCCACTCTGGAACGGACACTAAATCAATGATAGAAGGTTGTATGTATCACGACTGGTTGTGGGTTGATATACTTTTATGGTTCACAAACCCAGGCGAGAGAGCGATCAGATCTCCACCCAATGTCTATGGCTCAAAGGCTGGACGAAAAAAACCGCAGTGTTCGTCGAGAGTACCCGGAAGATTGAAACATTTCAGGATATATCACCTTCCAGCTCCCAAGCTGGCGGGCCGGGAGTGTGTCCTTCAGAATTAGAAACCATCACTAAGATGGTATCACTCTAGGTCAGTGGGTTTCGGAGTCGTGTCAACCATCGCTACTGAAAGCATAGACTGCGGAATGCACTCATTTGCGTGCCAATTTTTCTTTTGCGGTGGATTCATCTGGAACCCAGTGAGTAACCTTGTAAGTAGTATATTACGTCAATGAAGTTGTGGTCCTCCATTTAATCGTCCTTCATCATCCCGTTGAGCAACCAATCCGGGCACAGCGCGAACATCGGTAATTCAGCGTGTGTCATTTCTGATGTGGAAGAAACGGGTGTATTTGAACAGGAATGTAAGCAAGAGTTGCGAATAGGGAAAGCCGAAACTCCTTGGACGAGACTCAAGTTCGTAGTCTGATGCTAATCAGCTAGAGGTGCTCCACCAAACGGATCGTCATCCAAACTGGCTCACACGCGTACCTGTTGTTCGCCCCACTCCGTACCTAATAAGGCTGTCAGCTGATGTTCGTGAGCGGCGCTAGTTCAAAGATTATGCTTTGGACGACGGAACGGAGGTTCTATTCCCATCCCAGGACAACATATGTACTTGTGTTTCTATTCCACATGCAACTTTATAGGAGTTGCATAGCAGATGTAAAAGGATGGTGAAATTACGAGTCGCCCGAAGGGCAACAGAAACGTGATGAGCTAACTAAAATTGAATTATCAAGGGAGAATTTAAAAGCACGCCCACAGGTATTTGAACAGGTTGTTTGTATGTCGTTTGTACGATGATTTGAGTATGTAAGTACTGGGTGTCGGCCTTGCCTGTCCGGTGTGGTGTACTCCCTCAGTGTTTTTTGACGTAACTGTGAATGTTGCGGAAGTGAGAGGCTTTCTGCTTACTTGTTGAAGTTTTGAATTTTCAGTGTCCACGTTTTAGGTGCCCTTTGCCGAGAGTTAGTACTTTCAACACGTGAATCCTCTTGCTGACAGTAGTGGCGGTTGTACGTATGACTGGTGCTGCTAAGCACCCTAATTCGTAAGTTTTCTCTGACACCTTCATCTTGGGGCTGCGAAATAAAGCAAGCCATATGATTGGTCGGCATTCGACCAATGAGAGTGCAGCTGCGTGGGTTCCAGCCTGCTTTCAGATCACAGTGAGACAGACTGCTGTTTCCTCATTGAGCAAGCAAACATTTTTACCTTTGACCATTGCTCCATGGAATACTTGTCTCCTGGCCTTAAATAATGACAAATAACAGAAAAATCTAGCTAGCTTTAGCAGAAACTTCAACCGGATTCATCCGGTTATCATATCCCGTGAATTCAGTTCCGTCAGGACATCCACACTGAAAGGTTGTAGTATTCGAACTTATCGTAAGGTTTCAGGGGCAAGGAATTCCCGAAAGTGTTTTTGGATACATACTACTAATTAAGGTTAAACTAGTAGCTCATGTGAGCGGCCGAAATGAGCCAAAACACCGGTTTATCACTTGGTGACCCCCGTTCAGTATATTCGGTGTAGCTAACGATGTGCAATGTCGAAAACTGTGAAGGTGTAGCTTAAAAATAGGTCCCCTCTGTTTGTCGGCCACATTGATGGAAAGCACGCACCCGCTTTTTCAAACAAGCACGAGTCGATTTGAACCAATCGATCTGGTTCACGTCTGTGAATGTCAAGAGCGGAAAACTGCAGTTGTCTGCCCACACCGGATAGAACAGCTGGATGGGATGAAAACATGTGAACAGAGATGTCAATCAAAGCTTCAGAAGCGGGATTGTTTCGGTGGTTGTATCTGAAAAAAAAACAGTCAAGAATCGATATTGTTTTTTGTTCGACTCGAACATGATTCACCATTTCATTGACCATACTCATTTGTCTGTTTCCCAGCCAAGTCGACAACTGTTTACTTTCGAATGGTTTTTGTAAACAACACCTAATGTCAGACGCCCAAAAATTTAGGCCAAGTTATTCAGGATGATGGCAGGAAAAACGATTTCCGTTTATAGGGCTTGTTTATTAGGGTTAGCTCCGAAACTGTTCACAGAAAGTGCAAATGTTTTGGACACATATGTTCATTTCACCTTGGTTTTTATTTGTTTTTATTCCCGTTGCCAGTATTCGATCGCGCTTAGGCGTCTCAGTTTTCCACTTTTTGAATATCGATTTTTATTGCCACTGTTTCTCATTGGTCGGTTACTGAAGCCCGTTCTGCCAATTATTGTTTCGGTTTTTTTCGACACGGGTAGCATCATTCTAATCGATATCTGAACGTTATTTGGGAGGAAAATCCATAACTAATGTCTTTTTAAATTTTTCTTTGAATAGTTATTTCCATTAATGTCATTCTCCGTCGTACCTTCACTTTTCCCATTTCAAATGACTTCATCCTTCCCAAACAGGGCTTTCCAGCGCCATTCATTCATCACCAGCTTCAGGTGGTTTCAGGAGAGACTATTCCAGCTTTCCAATGTCGCGCCTGTCCTTCGGGCTGCAGTCGGTGTGGTGATAGCGAAGGTCGCACCTGCGAAGCCACACTTGATTTCAACGTACTGCGCGCCATCCCTTTGGCCATGCAGAGCTTTTGCATCACGGTTTGCCTCTTGCTTGGTCTCACTTTGCTCCGCCTCAGAAGAACACGAGTAAGTACCACTTGATTGATCATCACTCAGTTTTTGGAGGTCGTCGTGACAAAAACTAGGGGTCTGGCCCAGTCCAGAATTTGGTTGCTGGTCTGTTCGCCGAGCTTGGCAGTTGGATTGCAAACGTTTCATCACCAATCGAGGTGAATTCGTCAGTTACTCAACCCCGCACTAACGATATCACCTTGATTTGTGATGAAAAGTTTGCAACCCAACTGCCAAGCTCGGCGAACATACCAACAACCAAGCAGCGCACCTGAGCTACTTACATTCCACAAAAGTCCAGAATGTGCCTAACAGGCATAAATAGATAACAGTCGTGTTTTTTGGCTCTTCTGGTCTCTTCTTTTTTGGTCCACCTGTCCACACTTGTATCATTTTCCCTCCGGTATGTATGACTCAGAGAATAGTGCATGTGGATTACATATCTTGTGCAACAGCGTCGCTTGACGTAACAGGAAAATCCGGTTCCCACTCAGGACGGATTTCTCACTCTCAGTAACGCAAGTGCGAACAGGTTCTGCTAGACAGTTAATCTTTGTGCGTTCAACAGCCTCCTTCTGCGCCCTTTCTATCTGTTTTAATCCGTCTTGCGACCGTTAACAGTGTGTGACATTACTAGTTTCTGGATTTAAGTAGTATGAAACAATTTTGCAAATTCACAGACAACCTACTATCATCATCGTTTTTCCTACTCATCAAGTGTATGTAGTGGGGCTGTCTTGCTCAGCTGTTTTGTTGTCAACGCGTGTCCACTGCCGGTCTCATTAGTTCAGAAGGCTCACCAGCTAGATGCATCCTTTCAGAGGGAGCGCAACTGCTGTTAATAGCTTTAGTAGAGTTATTCATTGAAACGGCGATTAAGACCGCTTTTAGAAACTTTCGCGGTTATTTCCGTGGTTGGTAGGAAACGTGGTAAGTTGTCACTTTTTCGTCCACCTCTAGGTGTCTTTTTACTCCTCACGGGATCTCCATCATCACACGTGCTGACTGGCTCTTTGAGGTGGAACTTTCACTCATCGGGTGAATTTCATTCTTTCTCTGCACTACTCATAGATTTTCAGTAGTATGATGAGGCCGGAATCTCCGTTAAAAACTTTCAACTACTCTGACACTCGCAACACGTTTCGGTCCTGCTTTATTCGTTAAGAATTTTCATTTGAAGTTCTGTCATTTGATTTCGAAAAGAGGACCTTCGAAACCGAGGTTTGCTGGACTGGTCCAGGTGTCTGGGACCCCGTACGGTGTTAGCGTGTGAAACCCTGTAATGGATGTATCCCAGCACAGATGTGAACGCACGCAGAATGCAATCGTTCATTCTCTCGTCCTTTGAGTGAGGTTAGATTTCACTTGGGCAGGTACCCCTTTCCGTATCGACCACCTAGCCTCCGTCACTAATAGTCAATGAATGACATGGGTTTCAACCTTTCCGTAAGGTCACGTGGAGCACTGTACAGCAGTTTAATCCTGAGTGCGAATCATCAGCAGTGCGCATCTCACGAAACTCCGGAGGGTTTCCAATACATGACCGTCCCGTCAGTGGTTGAACACTGAACCGTTTGGCCATGAGTAGCCAATCAGGAATTACTCAACTCTCAGTCACTAGCTCACGTGCTGATTGGCTCCCCGACTCACGACTTCTCGCAAAATGTCTCGAAGTTCTTTCAAGTTATTCTCCTGAGCTATTTATCGATTGGTGGCGGGTCGGACCAGCATTGGTTAATCGAGTAGGTGGCGATTTCTAATTCAGCTTTGTTCTAAACCCTCAAGATTCTTCCCGGCGGTTGAGACCCATTCTCATACGGACAAACTGCCATAGGTACTGCATGTGCTTACCTTTCAAGGGTTTCATATCTCATCCATTCAATCCTTCTACCTCTGTTTATTTCAGGTCATCAAAGCAGCCAATTGGATACTGATGGAAATTTTGCTTCTGGGTGCCATCCTACTTTATTTGATTGTAAGTAGTATAATTGATTACAAATGACTGTTGATCGTTCTGGGAAGTGCACAGTGCCAAGCATATTGGCCCAAGTAACGGTGACTTGTTCGTTTATGGCTTGAATCGATAAAAATGTATGACAAACACGAGAATGTCTGAGGCGATGATCACCAATGGAAGACCAGAGATCGTCTCTAGACCACATTGCAGGAATTACTGGAACACAGGTACTGGCACATTCGAACGGTCCAATCATCATTACTGTGAAACCTTGTAGTTAGTTGTGAGATCACCATGTGGATCCTTTGAGCAGTCCTCATCTAATCCTGGCGATGGTGAGTACACATCAGAGGGAGGCATTGGACTCGAGTTTCTCCCTAATTGGTGCATGTGGCTGGCACTGCCGGGGTTCGAACTTTGGACATCTGGACTGTGAGACGTACGCTGCAGGCAGCTGAATTTTTACGTCTGAAACGGTGAAAATGTTCACACCTTGACAAGTGTACTTGTTTTTTTGTAGTCAAGGAATTGCCTGGGATTTGGGCCCTTGGTTTTTGATGAGCTTGGGCTCAAAAATCGTTGCATAACTTGTTCTGTTATTTGAATAGCATTTTAATCTGTGTGCAGGCTGGTCCTCCATCGTGTTTTCTTGAAAGAGCTCCACCGGTGGTAGGACATACCGAGGGGAGGTGCGGCGTTGCCTAGCCAACTCACGTTCACTACCTTGTTCTTAGCTGAAGAACAGTTGAAACTTTTTTATCTGTAGACATTCATCTACAAGAAGAATTTTTCTTTTTTATTTGCTGTGGTTCTCCTAATTCGTCCTCACTTTCCTCGACTGGGTCCCGTTTTCACAGGTGATCGTGATTTATTTCCCTGCCAGTGATATCACCTGCATCCTGGTCCCCTGGCTTCGTGAACTCGGGTTCTCCATCATGTATGGTGTCCTGATTGTGAAGATTTATCGGTAAGCTATTGATTATCGTGACGCTTGATGCGGAATAATGTTGGCGTTTGTGGCTCTTGAACGTCAAATCAAAATCCAATCGAGTTTTGTGACAACTCTTTCTTTCCAGAAACATATTACTCCGTGACTTTCAGGTAAAACATCTCAACGCCTGTTGAATCCGCTCTGAAAGAGACCGACAGCGTCAGTTAAAACTGACTTCATCCAAGAATTCCCCATTTTCTTGAGCTTGATAGGGTGAACGTCGACGTTTTAGCCTCTCTACTGGTTTATACACTCATCAGTTGGGTTTTTGGTGTACGTATCGGTGATCAGTTTGGCCAAGGCAGTGTGGATACTACAGAAAATATGCAAACGTGGCCGTGCGGACTGACCGTCAGATAGCCCGTCGCCAGTAAATGTTTGTGAGACTTTATCCTTTTATCGATTTAAACAGAGTGCTTGGCGGGTTCTCAAAACCATATAGACTATTGACTCCAAGGTACTGCTCTCGGCTAGCAGGCGTTTGAATATGCCCTGAGATGTGATCATTCTGGTGGATCAATAAGTCAATGGCTGCAAGTGGTGACTGGCAAACCAGGGACAAATAGTAGCCTGACCAGTCTCATTGATCAGGGGAGAGGAACATTCGCGATCTTCCGAAGCAGTCATCTGAGGACTGCTAAGCTATTCGGATACATATCATAGGTTGGCGTTGAAATGCCACCTCGACTAATCATCCGCGAGCAAAAGATGAATCTACAAAAAATCAATGTGCTGATAAAAACTCAAAGGAATTTGGCCTTGAAGAAAGTCAGGTGGCTTGGGAGAGAAAATACCAGGCAAGAATTCTTCCGAGCGTTGATGAGGCCCGAATTTCAAACTCAAAAAGAGATCATTCTCAATCTTTGGATAAACACTTTCTTTCCCTTAAAGTCTTGTCAGGAGGCAGCCTACTAAAAATAGTACCTACACCATTTGGCATATCGGCAGTAAGAGAAAATGAAGGGAAGTTAACTTGTTGTTTTTAGTTTCCCATCCTTCCGCTCGCAAACGATGATAGTTCCTAAAAAATTCTTATGTCAAATTTTTTGAATCACACTGAAGGTCGAGTTCGTCCCTGAATACAAGCTGTAGTGAGTGAATCTGACGCATTCTCCAGCATAGGGTTTTGAACAGGTGCAACGAAATGACTCGTGTTTGGGGAAACGAGTGCAATACACGTTTGTGCTCGTCAGCAGGATGAAGCATGATTCGAACACGGTCCGTTCAGAGCGCACCGTAACAGTCCCTTTCTGGTATGACCTCACGAAGGCTGTTTGAAGCAAGCGCAGGAAGCGATTTCTCAAATGATTAATCGTTATCGAATGCAACAGAAGACGTTACGAACCGTTAAGGTTGCTCTCTCGAACAGCAGATACAACTGGGGAAGAAAAACTAGCCTTTTCTCAGGTGGAATTCTAACCCCATGTAAGGGATGACGCTTCAGGGAGGTGTTCACGTGGGGGAGCCGTACGAGACTTTATTTCTCGTCTTACAGCAAAGATTGTGTGTGACTTTTGTCAGTGCCATACGTTTGTCGAGGTTCACTGCCTTCTAAACTGGTTGGTTTCTGTTCTATCACGTGGAACGCCAATGTCATACGCAACGAGAGCTAACTAAAGAGGCGGACCACTAGGAAAAACCTAACAAAGTGTCCCTTTCAGGACAGAAGTTCACATTTGGCGGAACTTTGAGCTGAATGTACTTTCCATATGATGTTTGATTTCCGTTTGGTGGACGATGAAGGAGAAAGGCACTCGGGGACATAAAGGTTCAGTTTTTCTTCGCAAAATCCCTTTGACTGAAGAAGATACGGTGTAACAACGACGGCAATGCCTCAGCTCGGTTTTCAGTCTGATCCTTCCAAGATAACGTTTTTGGCAAAATGAATCACCAAAGGGGCACAACGTGTGTTAAACGCCAAATCGAAAACACACGTGCATATGCTCTGAATATTGGCCTTCAAAATTTGCACGTTGGATTAGAGAGAGAGTGTACATGTCTGAAGCCAGAAGTGACAGGATTTCTTGAAAAATGACTCGAATTTGTCAGAGCAATAAAGACGGAACACCTCTAGCGAGGTACTAGTGCAGTTTGGTTACAGGTGAGACGCAGCGCAAGACCAAAATAAAGAGGGCTGGGAAGCGTTTGTTAGGCCGAATTTCACACCAAAACCACCTTACTGCTCGTGGTTTGGCGCTGCTACGGCCAAGAATCCTAACCCTGCAGGCGATTGGCCATAGGATGAAGTCGCTTGCCGGTCCAGCATCACGGCGTGCTCTGATTGGCCGGTTGGGGTGGACCCAACAACCAATCAGGATTCGGTATCCGCCGAATGTCGGTTGTCAATGCCGCGTCCAGAAGGCATGGGAATTACGAGAATTTTCTCTCCCCATACATTTTAGGCACGACTTACCGGGTGTTTTGCCTGCATCTGGCATTTACTACTCGTTATGCACCGTTGGTGGTTCTTTTGCCGAGAACCTGCGCAACAGTACTTTTGATTTGGTTGTCTCCGATTTAATTATCGGCTTTCCACTTAACGAGAGCGCCAATGTGCCTGATTGAGGACGCTGCACCATACGGCTGCTGATCGATATCAGTGGCGTTCTTGTTGTCAGTTCCTATCCAGATTGTCTAACTGAGTGTTTGGAGGTGTAGGCATCTCGGAGCGATTGTAGTAAGCCAGCACTGAGTCCTTTCCTCGTCCACCTTTATTCTTTTCTTCACAATAAGGCTTTCAAATAAATCATGGTTGTACGGCAGTGAAGCATCGGTGTTGAACACTGATATCATGCTGTCGATGCTATTGATCCTTCAGTACATTCCTCCCATTGGAACCTACTTATACAGGTATCCAAATAGCCTCCCACCCAGGTGCAATTTGTCCTGCTCTGATTGGTTTGAATCAGCCCTTCTTTTCTTCAATGACAACTGAATCTATTTGATATTGTCTTGTCAGGGTCCTTTCGGCGTTCCAGTCGCGAAAAGCTCACCGCGTCCATGTAAGAGATAAGGACATTCTCAAATTCCTTGGAATATTCATAGTGACCACTTTCACCTACATGGTAGCCTGGACGGCGGTCAATTTGGACTACATATCTTCAGCGCCGTGGAATCCCAGACCAGAAGCGCAAAGTTCCGTGGTTAGCATGATCCGCATTGGACAGTATCAAGTTTCCAGAAGCACCAACGAACAAAAGGACACGCTGAACAGCACCGGTTTGACTGTGGATGACAGAAACCTTACTAGCTCTGTGGCAGCATCAATGGCACCGGTGGAATCCGTCACTTTTGAAGTTTGTCGCGCGCTTTCGTGGGATATTGTCGTCGAATTATGTGAGTTTGGAAGTCTTCGTGTTTCTTTTTTCGAATTCTGTGATTTGACCTCTCTTCAGACTGTGTCATCACACCTTTGTCGCACTAAACCTAACTGAAAAGATATCCATAGAACACTTGTATAGCCTAAAAAATGCACCCTCATATAAAAATCAATAAATAGTAACCAACACGGTAATCTTTACCTCTGAATCCGTACACTGACCATTCAGGGTTCGCGTTCCAAACGCGTCGACCTGATTGGCCGTCTGGTTCGGTCGGTCACGTGCGCGTTGTGCTTATTGGTTCATCTGCCACACAGACGTATGCGATCAAGCAATCTCATCTATTAGGCATGTCCAGTTTGTGAAGCAACTGTGGGGAACGTTCCAAGAGCCTGATTCATTGACCAGACAATGCCAAATCGATACGCGATCTCATCAGTGTTACTTTGTGACAGAGTAATAGGAACAGAGGTCGCTCACGGTTTCATCAAGAGAAGGGGGGATGAGATGGCCCAAGTGGTTAGAGCGCTAATTAACTGACCTGAAGGTCCGTGGTTCGAACCCGACCTCTGCCTCTCGACTACCCCTGTCTAGGCTTGGGCAACCTGACAGTATCCTGGCCTTCGTCCAACCTTTGGGTGGCATGGCAGTTAGGCACCGAAAAGGTGCTACAACTGAGCTATTCTTTCAACAGAAGGGGTTATTGCTGAAGAACGGTCTTCACCAAGAAAACGACCTATTGAACATAATTAGTCATCACATTTTAGACAACTCTACGAAATATTGGGGGTGATGTCGCCAGCCTTGCTTCCGTTGTGGGATCTCTAAAACATCGAATTTGCTACAAGTACTAACTTTCATGAAAACCGATGAATACCAGTCATTGTAACGAGCGACTACTCAGCATTTTGCCTGTACTTTTATACCATAAGGTAAGTTGACAACGGTGAACTTGCGATCTGCTTAGATTGGGCCCACAGCTCCAGTCCACGCTAAGTTTTTCTGTCTCCCAACACGATTGCCATTCATTTAAACGCGCCGGAAACATCTCAAACAACACCTGAATACAATTCACGCTCCTCATCCCTCGTTTCATCATACCCAACATCCCACAGGGCGACCCCTTGAAAAATTGAAGTTTTCTCCCCCCACTCCGATTTGATGAAAGACCATAATAGACCCACCAACAGTGACGCAATGATGTGAAGCTCAAAAGAGTTTCGGCTGACCAGTTTCGATAGGTACATCCTAACTGTTTAGCAGGGTGTGCACTGCTTTCAAGACAACGTGAACAAACTACTGTTTGAATGTAAGTAATATATGAACTGATTTACCTCGCTTGGTGCGCTTGGGAGCGCTACGCGAAGCTGACCGATATGTATACGAAACAAACTTTCCTGCAGACCATTTTAATGTATTCGGGGAACTTGGGAATGAGCTTAGCGGGTTCAGAAATACCGAATGGGGCATGACACGTAGTCAGGAATAGTTAATTTGAATTGGATCGAAACAAAATCGATCCTGAATCCTACAGTGGCGCGACAGAATGTGTTATCGTGCAACAGACTTCCAACATGGGTAGTCCAGGTGTTCCACTCCAGAACGAGGCGAGAAGACTAGTGCACACGAAAGATAACCGATAACAGAATAAACCGACGATACAGTGAGCACTAAGAAAGGGGTGAGGAAAGCTTGCACCTGATTGGTTGCGACATAAAATGGGCAACACGGGAATCGACCAAGACATTCTCTGAGGAATTTGATGATACGTATAGGAATGCATGTCTGGCATCGATCCTGGTTCATCGATCCTGGGTTTTGATTTGAAGACCATAGGGATCAGTGGAATGCTTGAATTAGAGAGGTTGGGGGGACGTTCGTTAGACGGTTCTGGCTACGTACGGCACCTTGACAGTGTGAAGTCAATCTAAGATGCAAGAGAATAGACTCAGGATCTGTCGTGAGTTGTCTAGATCATCACTCGTACTTCCTTCGACCTTGACCGACGATCACTTACTGCGTAGGACAGACCACGTCCCGTTCTCACAGAAGATGCCCTGGAAGGCACCGGGGTGGATTAGTTTCCTCTGGAGGTTGATGTTTACAGGAAAGGGTGGAACCTACAAGAGACCCTTCAACAGATGAACCAAAGGTGATGACTTCAGAAGCGATGTCCTTGAAGGGGACGGCTGTATCAGCATACAGTTCTGTATCCCGGTCTTTATTGAGAACAAGTTCTTCATCCCCGGGATATTTTGGCTATCGTTTCCAACAAGCCACCCATGTGTGGCCATTTTTGGAAAGCAAACGATAAAATCTGTCGGAGAGAGAAGGATAAAACCATCCCACCTGCCCTAAGTCAGTTGTGAGATGCGTCAGGTATGTCCCGCTCACTCTGATGGGTTGCTGGTAACACCCTGGCCTCCCCCGTCAACAATCTGCGGTTGGGTATGGTCAAATACATGCACTCTCTCTCCCATTCTCCCTATTTCTAAGTGACCTGCCTTAGCTACTGCGTTCATAAATGTGGTCTTGTAAACGCATACTCACGTGGAGAAAACAGGGGTCGTTGGTTTGTTCGCTGAGCTGAGCAATTTGTGTGCAAACGTTTCGTCATCAATCGAGGTGACATCATCAGTGCGTTATCGGGGAGCGTAGTGGTGCGTAGCGGTGGGTTGGGGGTTGCGCGTTGAGTAGTGTTGGGTGTGTGTTAATATACGTGCTCCTGGCTTCGATCACGGTTAGTTGTTCGATCGGACTGTTCCCTTGATTGCACTGTGTACTGGTTCGTCGATGCCCACGTAACCTTTGAGCTTCGCATCCCCTGTCCCCGTGCTCTGGTCGATGTTGGGGTAACCTCTGTTCTTGACCTCCCTGAGTTCCGGCTTCTGACCTTTATTAATCTGACCCCAAGGTGTTCTCTGGTTCCGTGTTTGTGAATCCGATATTTGGTCCTCCTTGAGTATCCCGGTTAAGATGTTGGTCCCTTGCACGCAGTGGTACTCAACTCACCACCACTACGCTCTCCGATAATGCACTGATGATGTCACCTCGATTGGTGTTGAAACGGTTGCAATCAAATTGCCCAGCTCAGCGAACAAGCCAACGACCACCATCTACGCTACCTTACCTACCCCCCATAGAAAAACAACTGAAGTTTCCTGAAGCTTCATAAACATTTCATCAAAATGCAATCTGAAAATAACTTTTCCTAGATTTTTTAGCATGAATTCTTTGATTTAGTTAGATGGGTTCATAAAAATGAGTGTGGTACAATCGGTAGGGCGCAGAGGTAATAATGACCAGTATGAAACCAGCCTACGACCTAATGTTTGATCGGATGACCGCTACTCTCTTCACTTGACTAGGCAACTAGTTAGCTTGTCCACGTTTTGTCCCCAGTCGAGAAGACATCGTTAGTGAATGCTCGGGGGAATTCCTACTTTGTGTTAATCCGTACAGGAGGCGCTTTATGTTTTACCTAGAGCGATGTTCGATGCATCAAAGCGTGTTTCTCGCTACAGCCACACTTACAAAGTCGATGGGTTCTGCTCCAGTTTCGCCCGCCAGAGACATACCATCCATATCGATTTTCAATTGAATAAGATGTGTACTTAAGTGGAGTTAAACACTCATTGGCAAGTATCTTGGAAACGGGCCAGAATGAAGACCAAATCGCTGGCATAGACTGGCGTTCAAGTACGAAATGAGAGTTACTCGAACCCACGAGTTCGCTCATCTCATATGCCTGAAGAAGCAACTGCTCACAGAGAACAAACTGCGCTAAAACCTTGATAGAAATGAGTTTCTTTACCGTAAATTTCAAGACAGTTCGGCCCACCAGGAGTTTTGCGTACGTAACACGTGGATTCTTCCCCTATTTTCCATGGTGACCGGTCTTTTCACTTCATATAGTGACTATTTACCTTGAAAATTCCGCACCTCTTTCATTCTTGCGGTCTTCGTTGATGGGCACAACCGTAGCTTGAATGGACTACCTGTTCACCACTGAAGTTTTTTATTCAGTCAACAAAGACTTCTCTCCAAAAGCACCTAAATATATATATGGAGGATGTTACCCAAAGCCCATTTTGAAATTCTATTCGGCTAATTCGTTCTTTTTTTCATGTTTCCATTCATCCCCAGCGGAATTCATTATTCTAGCTGTTAGTATACACTACTGTCGTCTGGTCCGAACAGCACCATCCGAGTACAACGAAACTTTGTACATCAGCATCGCATTGATTATCGAACTGACTGTCTCGGGGATTTTCAATATTGTCCGGTAAGTGGGTTTGTCTTCCTATCGATCTCTGTTCGTGAGACAACTGCCTCGATTTTGCAGTTCAACTGCGTCCGACTGCATTCTGATTGGTCAAACGCAATCAGCCAATCAGCAGTGAGATGCATGGGCAGTCGGAAAAATTCACTCAAAACGGTATGGTTGAGCTCAAAAGCAGATGAAATAATTTCTGTCTCAGCCTAGTCCGTTCTACTCATGTGCAGACCAAATGGTAACAATTGCTTATCAGTCATTAGGACAGCTTTCCATGACAGTGGGGGGAGGCGAATTCATGCAGGCCTGTCTTGTCCGAGGATTGCGCTGGATAGCTTCTCATCTGCACCAAAAGTGGTGGTAAATTAATCTAGAACTGTACCGAAATGCCCCCTCTGCTAGAAATCTCGCAGATGCGGAACAAAATCTGTGGTTTCCTCTAAGGAAGGTTAGTAGCTGTTTATCCGAACAGCACCTTACCTGCCAGTGTCACTATTTGAGAGGGACCAAGACGGGGTTGTCGGTGACACGTTCGTTTGTCCACATTGATCACTGGGCTGTAGATTCGGAGGAATAAACTATTTACAATGTTCCTAATTATGGAAACCTCGTATATCAGGCACCCGTGCTTCCGTAATGCTCACTTGTGCAGCGTATGATCAAGGCTATTACAGTAACCAACTGGTTTCCGGTTCTATCCAGAGCTGATGGTCTGAGTACTGTTCGGGGTATTGCTTAGCCTCAGGCGAGACTGTACACCCACGCGTTGATGCGAACGATGGCAGTAAACCCTGTGTCTAGTGGGGCTCTCTGATGAATTTGTGTGCACTTTGGAGTTTTCGTTACCTGTTCTTTTCCTACTTACCGCGACGATCAATGCTTTCCGTCTCCGTTTCAGGCACCTGATCTGGTATTCCGTACATCCAGACCACGTTTTCCTACTCTACTTTGCCCGGTCGCACATCACTGTTACCGCCAATCTGCTTCTTATTTTCGGCCCAAAAGTAAGCCTCGTACGGTTTTATCAATCAGCTTGCACGACATACACAAGTTAGTTTTTCAGAGCTTTTGTTCAACCTTTTACCCCCTGCTGAGTCTTGTGAGGCTTGCCAATGCGACTAGGGAGTCGAGTGCGGTTGTGATCAAACATGTTGACCAACGAAGCACGTATGACCTAGCGCGTTACTGAATAAGGTGCGGCGGTCTCACGCGCATCAAACGTGCGTTCACATACTCGCTTCCGATTGGTCGAACGGAGCCTCGCCCCCTGGGGATTGTTTGCTAGACGGTGCGGTCATTGGGCCGTTCGGATCTCTTTTGATTGGTGCGCCGCCTCGGCGAATGAGAGTGCAACGTTCTGGGAGATTGTTTTCAACTAACCAGGTTCACCATTATTGGTTCATGGTCACGTACCAGCAGTCAAACCCGAGGTGGGTTCTGAGAAATCAATCATTTGAAATTTGTCGTGCGGCCAAAGTTTGTGGGTCGACAGAACTTATCATAACGGGACAAGTTTGAGGCTGCATGTGTTGCACGCAGCACATGCAGCATGCGGAGTCATCTTAGATGTTGACATCGATGTACCCGTCTTTCCAGACCTAATTCTGGTGATACAAGGGGTCTGATCTATAAATTGGCTCAGTTCTGAATGTGAATAACTATTTATTTGATAACGAATTGACATAGTTTCATTAAAAAAAACCGGATCAGTTGTGGATAGGGTCTGGACAAGCGTCAAAAGGTTTTATGCAGAGTGACAGCAGATTTCTGTTCAAGGACGGTTTCTCCGTTCGATAGAAAGAGACCAACACATTTAATTCGAGCCAAGTGACTGGCGTGGCCAATTAATCAACTCAGCCATCTGTATTTGGGCGTATTTTATTAATACGCCAGCCAAACGTGTTTATCAATTTGTAATATGCTTCTGAAAAATGAAACGTTATGTGGGTGGGTGTCTGAGACTGTTGATCCAATTATCACGTGTCCGATCCCATCTAATGAATCACAATAAGAAGCTAGCTGAGATCATCTCCTCGGTTCTGAACTCCTGTGGGAGACTCAAACGGTCTGCCGCATTCACCAAACTACTGATTAAAACCAGGGATCGAATCCAGGTGCCTAAAAGTAAAGTGGACCGACCTTCGTTTGAGGGAGAACATTAATTTATCGGCTAACAGATATCGAAATCTTTATATTGCGGCACGGTGCGTAAAATAATGTGGTCGACTAGCGGTTTGAATGCGTCAAAAAGAGCAAGCCATCTTTTGACTTGGAATTTCCACCGGGAGAGCCGTGCTCCATTTTAGAATTCTCTGATGCGCGAGCATACAAGGTGATACCCTGAAACACGAGACATGTCGGGGTATTCAAACCGCCGGTCCCATCACTTTTCACAATATACTGTGCACCTGATATCACAAGCACAGCGTGGAACGCTGACAATGGCGGACCGTACCGCCTTATTGGCCTGTCAATACGCTGGCTGCTGCAGTTAGAAGTTAAGACGAGGCTCATCATGCAATTTTTTGAAAGACGTGGTTACAAAAACAATTTCCTCTGCCTCTATACATTCAAGAACACATTTTCGTCTTGGTTCTTTGCCTCCAGGTCTGGTTCATCTACAGACCGTCAAGTACAGTCACCGGACAGGGCCGTTCCCGAGCCAGCACGACTACACCCTATACGGCTGACGCAACCTTGGCCTCAACGGGAAAACTGCCCTTGACACTCAATGGGGACCTTGACATTGCCGATGTCAATTTGTCCGATATGGATCCCGAAGTTATACGAGTAAGTTTTTTCGAAAATTCAAAACTTACCGAGAAGCTCACACCCCCGTTCGTATCCACATAATTGCTCGCCACATGTTGGCATTCGCAACCTATTTCAACAAAATTTATTCGGTCTATCCATCCAGCACCTGTGACAGACCGTATTGTCTGTCCAGCAAATTTGCAATTTAGTCTGACTACTGATAGACACAGAGTAGTTCAAAACGAAAACAATTGGGGGCGACGACAGCTGAACGGGTCTGGTCGGGGGGGAATTAGTACTAGACGGGATAAATACGGCATTTTCGAGTTTTGAGGGCCACCATTGTCGCCGTATACTTTAGGGCAAATGGTTTTCGCTGAAAATCTGTTTTGTTGTAAGTGCGCCTCGCTAGGTATCCCGGTATCACATCAGAAGTCGAATAACTAGTGGACGGATATCAGGTTTTTCAGGTTTCTAGTCGATGTGTGGTGGGAAAAACGTTCCTGCAGGCTTTAGAGATCCTTGGAAAGTCAGTCGATTCCGGACTGTCAAAAATGTTTGGGCGAAATTTCTCATTTTGCATCCCAATGTTTGGTCCCACTTTTTGGTTGGTTAACGAGACAGAAGCAGCCTGAATTTAGTGTTTTTTTTACAGTATAATGAAAACATTAATGAGTATTTTATTTCCAATTTGTCTACCTTGACAGCGAGAACTCAAGCGTCTATACACCCAGATTGAATTGTACAAGACAAAAGCTATGAGAAAAGACAACCCACACATCAGTAAACGACGCGGAGGTCGGAAACAACGCAGGTAGGCCTCTATCCACCGATGAATATCACATGTAATGAATCACTAAAAATTCACAGCGCATAATATCACCAGGTTTTCTTGTGATTCTCTGTATTTTACATGTAATATATGGCCATAGACGCATCAGAACACGAATATGGTATAATCTGGTACTCTGAACATGAACTGTATGCAAAGAATGCGTCCTTGAGCAAAGTTTCTCAGACTGAATTCAACTCTCAATGATTCTGTAATCTTGAGAAAACGTTCCACTCATGCACTCTGGTTCTGATTACTGGACCTGTCAAAAGGGCTCACGAAGATAGCAGACGCGTTGCGCCTAGGTAAATAAAAAAAATGAAAGTCTGTGCGGCAAAGATGACGAAAAATCGATGAACAGAAGCACTATAATAGCGGAAGGCGATGCAGAACCTGCTACAAGTTTTCGGACAGCACGATTAGCCAATGACTGCTTGAATCTTAATCGAGGCCTGTCGGCCAATCGTCATCCACTTCACAGTATACGGTTGAAGGTCAACGCAAGCCAAGGTCATCCAATCAGGAGCTTGATAGGATTTCACCCGTAATGAAGATTGCAGGCACCGCGTGACACAATGGCCGAACGAACGGACCAATCAGCAATCGAATCAGTCATTGTACGGTGAATTAATACAACCAATGAAGAATTTGGAATGAAGTGTACTCCAGTGAAGGCGGAATGGTTTTGTCTAATAAAATGCGAATCTTTAGGGGGTGAATTAGAGCTGTATCCTGGTTGATTTCCAGAGTCGTGACAACAAATGACTCTTCGAGAAGACCCGGTTCACTACTGGTCGGAACGACAGGTTCACAGAGAAGATGTCATGAAGGATAAACGGTCCTTTTCTGACATTATTTTGCGGTAAATTCGTGTTCAGAATATTTTTTGTTCAAAGTGAATTTGTTTGATTGTTTTGGACACTTTCCCTACGGAGTGCCTGCAACATTTGACCAGGCAAACTGGAAGATACTGGCGACGGCGACCAATAAGGTTGCCTTGGCCACTCTCTGCACTCACGCTTTGCCAGTGCTAACCCAGGAATTTGCAGAGCACTAAAACCAACAAGACTAAGTGTGTGGCATCCAGAATGTAACCTCCTACCAGTGGATCGAATTCGAATGACCACTGGAGGTTGACTGCAGGTACACGCACACACACCAAGCCCTGATCCGTGCCCCAACTGAACTGAGCGGGATCCGGTTGAAACTCTCATTCATGATATTGGTCAAATGAAAGTGCTGCCCAAGGGCCACCGGATGTTTTATTTGGTAGAGCGCTTGAATTATCCGGGTAAATTGTCTTGAAAAACTTACAGTTTGAAAGATCACTGAAAGCACTTCGGAAGCCAACGACCGGTCTCGATCAACTTGAAGCTCACGGGGTAGACACAAGCCCCGGATTTTCCGTCAACCTCATGTTCTACTTGAACCCTGTGTACGTGATGGGTGAAATCCACCCATCTAACGGGAGACTCAAGTGACCACAGATGAATACAGCTGAACGGTGTACTTCTGCAAGTGTGTAAAATATGGGTTCAAGTAGAACATGAGGTGGACGGAGCGAGACACGATGAACCATCGATGCAGTTGACGATTTCTATGAGGTTTTTGATGTTCTTCATGAAAAACCTGGCGAGTGACCGTTTATTTATGGTATCAAGAAACAATGGTATGAAAGTGGCCCCTGTAAGATAGGGTATGTGATGATCCGGCATGCCGCACTTCACTCCTAACCAGGATTGTGTTTCGGACGTTAATTAATCCCAAATAAATTGTCTTCTCCCATATTTTATTTGTCAGAGTGTGAGCGATTTTGCTCCAGAAGTCAGTTTGTCCCTTCACCAGTCAAAACATCTGATCGTCTTTCCAAGTTATGGCTTACCCAGAGTTGTCGCTTCTTCTGATTTCAAAGGTTTCCGAGCGATGTTCCAAGTCAAATCTGACCCGACCGTTCAAACGCCAAGGCCAGAGTGTTTCGTTTTGGTCACATGATCCAGCACTTACACACACTCACACACACATACTGACACACACACAGACTGCATGAGAATCTCACAATCCACGTGATGGCACCTTGATCAGTTTTGCCTCCGTCTTTTTGTTGTTCCATAACAGAGACCACCCTTGGTGGTGGGCAGTTCAGACTGTTTCGGACTGTCGCCATGATCCTCCGCTTGAAAGATGTTGCATGCAGGTCGCTCACTGAAGCGATCAATTGAAATGTGTATCAGGCTTGGGTCTAATGGTGCACGACCGCGAGAAACGGTCGAAAGTTTTTCATTCCCTGAATACAGAACTGACACTTCACGCCAGATAAGATAGTTTTACGTCTCTACAGCTTGATTACTGGGATTCCGCTGTCATCTCGAGGTGAGTTTAACTTGCCCATCGGATGAAGATAAAATAGGATGTTAAGAACACTTTAAAAACGTTTTGTCGTCTCGGCTACGCTGCCGTAATCTATTCGCACTTGCTGTTGTCTACCGAACCATTTATGTGCTTGAAATCTGATTGGTTAGGAAGTCTTATCCAATCAAATTGCACTGAACGTCGCTGCACATCCTCCACAGGTTCTCACTCCAGCCGTTCCACAAACGGCATCACGGGCAAACCGGCTCGGGTAATGTGCCAATAATGGTTGAAGGAGAAGTCGGTGAATACGGGTGGACCGGTGGTCGTGGGGGTAAGGGTGTTTGTCCGAAACACGGGAGGCACTACATGGGGTTTAGTCAAGGTGCTACGGGGTCATCGGCCAGACAAGGTAGCTACCACGTCCATTCAAGCATTGTTCATGACGAAGAAGTTTCCAGACTCTCGGAAGAATCTACAAACAGTGTGGATGATCTGAATCTTTCTATTAGTATGGGTCCGCAAGGTGCCGGGGAGAGGAGTCAACAGGAGGCGCGTGGTTCAAAGGGCAAAACAACCAGCTCAGAACAGCCACGACCCGGATGAAGTGAGTTTATAATTTTCTGGTGTGATTATTGGAACAGCTAGATCACTGTTGCGCAGTCAGCAGAATGGATCTGCCATCCATCAGGGGAACAGCCATTTTTTCACTTAATTTACAATATTTTTTACACTACTCATGAGTAAGCCAATTATAATTTCATTTCAGACCCACAAGGAACTGGCCTGCTCTGAGCACCTGCCGGGCTCATGTACATAACGATATACACGCAAAATGCCACGTACAGAAACTGCTGACTATCAAGGCAACGCTCAACCACTGTATTGACTTAAAAACAGATATGTATGTATTGGATGTAATTCCCTTCCCCCCGAACACCTCAGATTTTGAAACATGTAAATTGATCCTGCCCAAACAGAATCGCTGTCGTTGTTTAGCGTTCATTCATGCAATATGGTCTTTGGTTGAATTCTCCCCCTCCTAACCCTCCCCCCAACCCCGGAAACACACACCCCGGCAATCGACTTCATTTCCCCATTCGTTCTGTACGCTTATCAATTACTTCCAATAGATGACTTGAAAAATGCACTAAACTAGTGAGCGAACTTACAGAGTACCTCAGCCGCCATCTCCTGGGTGGAAGTCAATCGACCAAGGAAAGTAGTCAGTCTGAAAAAAATCGATAATTAGGCAAACTCGCACGCGGATCAGTAAAAAACCAGCGCTGTTAATTTTGGGAAGCATGACGAAAACGGGAACTCTGTCAAAAGATCAGTCCCACAACAATCCTTGGATTTCGTTGTCTCAAACTGAAAGGTAAGATCCGAGTCGGTTGGCGCAGAAAGAGCACTTTAACTTTGGAATGCCGGCTCTTTTCAACGGTTGCTTCATCATATACATAATCTCACAATGTGACTCGAGTGTCCTGGAAGCACAGGGGGCCCAAAGTCGGTCCGCGTCTCACGTTCCTCAAGGAAGGAAGGACCGGTTTTCTCGATTTACCGTCCACGTAAATCAGGAGGATATTCGGTAATTGATTGACACACAACACTGTATCCTGCGGACGGGACTAGGCAACCGGATGACTTCGTGGACTGCCGTTTCGATGGCCCAGGTTCGAGTCCCACACACGAGCTCAGTCAGGTTTAGTCACACCGAACGTCAACTATGCGCACTGGTTGAGAACATGGTGTCCGCTGGCGTTAATGTTGTCGATAGAGGAACTCTACAGCTTGGAGCTTCTTTAGTACAACGAACAAATTACGGGCGGAGTGACCACTGATCGCACTTGTGGGAGTGTTCGATTAACCAGAGAGATTTTATCCTCTCAATGAGGCCCTTTTCTGCTGAAAAGCCGAGAGGCACAGAGCAGTTGTTTCGTTCTTGTGGAAACCAACTTGTTCGAATGTTAAAATCTCTTCCAAAGCCGTTCACAACAAAACTTTGGGCATTTTACACATTCCTAGAATTGCATGAAGAGAACATGATATGAGTTACCACGAAAAATAACCGATGTTGGCGGGTTTCGGTCATGGAGGATGAACACGATGCTGAAATATGCGTGAAGATGTAAAGGGCACGGTCTTGGTCGTTTGTAATTAGACAAGCGCCTTTGTGTACCGAGGTGATCTCTGTTCTTGGACGTGAGTTTCGGGTCTTTCCACGTGATACCCAAATATTCAGCGGAGATTTCGTTTTGTCAGCAAAACCCAATTTATGCTGAAAAGCCTGCAACCACTGTACAACTTTTTCACCCTTCCTGGGAGTGATCAGCAGTGCACATCTTACGAAACGCCAGGCAGTATCGAACCCGCAAACATTCAAACAGTGGTTTGGCTACAACCGACTGGTCAGCGGAGTGATTAGCTATCATTCAGACAAGACAATATGTCACTCTTTTTTTCCTTGATGGAAGACACATCACGTTGTCACGTGTTGACAGGCTGGCCCCTGGGATGATGACTTATCAGAAAGAAGTCCCACACATCTAGTGATATTAGCCTCCCTCTGGGCTACTTATTGATTCTCAGATTGTTTCAAACGGATCAAACGTAATCCAATCTGTTTGAAGAGCAGTTGTTTGCTGACTTCTGTTCGTAGGCCACTGCTAAACCGTTCGTGCTCCCCAGGGCAAATTAGACAAGGTTGCACGAGGGCTGGGATACTGCCAGGTTGCTCAAGCCTAGACAGGGGAAGCTGAGAGGCAGAGGTCGGGTTCGAACCTTCCGGTCAGTAAATTCGCGCTCTAACCACTTGAGTCATCTCGCCCCAAGCATACGTTTGAAAAGTTCTTCAAAACCAGTCGAGGGATTATCATCATCAAGTGATCCTCATTTCTAACTAACTCGTTTGGCGCGAAGGCTATGTTAGCGACACACCGCGTGGATGCTATTACCAATAAAGTCTTCGTTTTGAGAGTAACGTGTGAAGAGGAGACCCTACAAATGCGACCGCTCGGCATTTATTGGAAACTAACCCAACTTCTGGACGGCGCACACAATGTCCTGAATGACAAGGAACGTTGGGAAATTTTCGGATGAGTGGCATTCTTTCAATTGCGTCCGTTGAATACTTTGATTTCCAACCTTCAAACTCCACGGAAGAAGATGGAATGGAAGGGAGTGCCTTGAGATCCTTGACAGGGACAAGCTGGTTGTGTGTATGTCACGGTGTGCTTTTGCTGTGGGGACCCAGAAATGCTGTACATGTCATCATCATCATCATCGTCCGAATCACCATCATCCGAATCGTCATCATCATCAACACCGTCATCATCATCAACATCCTCATCAACATCGGCATCAACATCATCATCAACATCAGCATCATCCGAATCATCCTCATCATCAACATCATCCGAATCATCATCCTCGTCATCATCATCATCCGAATCATCATCACCATCATCATCCGAACCATCATCCGAATCATCATCATCATCATCATCATCATCATCATCATCATCAACATCATCATCATCAACATCATCATCATCCGAATCGTCATCATCAACATCATCATCATCGTCGTCATTATCATCATCCGAATAAACATCATCACCATCATCATCATCGTCGTCATCATCATCATCATCATAATCATCATCATCATCATCATCAACATCATCATCATCATCATCCGAATCGTCATCATCAACATCATCATCATCATCGTCATTATCATCACCATCATCCTCGTCATCATCATCATCATCCGAATGATCATCATCATCCGAATCAGCATCCGAATCATCATCATCACCATCATCATCATCGTCGTCGTCATCATCATCATCATCCGAATCATCATCATCATCAACATCATCATCATCATCGTCATTATAATAATCCGAATCATTATCATCATCATCATCATCCTCATGATCATTACCATGATCATCATCATCATCATCCGAGTCATCATCTTCATCATCATCATCATCATCATTACTAGCAGCATCGTCCTCGCCATCATCATCCGAATGATCATCATTATCATTATCATCATCATCATCCTCATCTTCATCGTCCTCATCATCATCATCATCATCATCATCATCATCATCCGCGTCATCATCATCATCATCATCGTCATCATCATCATCATCATTCGAATTATAATAATAATAATATTACTAATAATAATATTCCTTACGAGTACAAACTTAGTCCACATTGTGCAGCGTCAATACGGGTCACAGTTTCGTTCGCCGATAATCTTAGAGGGGGGTTGATAGATACGCATTGGAAGGGGGGTTGGAATCATTAACTGATATGACTGACACATGAAGACAGGGGAATCATTTCACATTTCAGGAGATCGAGGGGGAAGCTATGTACTGAAGGCAACATCCCGGATGCATGCGGTCACTGGGTTTTACCTATCACTGTGCCCACCCAGGGATAGAACAATGACCAGCGCAGGTTAATATTCTAGTTCATTGTTTGGCCATCGCTTGACTGTGTTTCGCGTTCACCCATCAGCTGGTTGTGCAAAAGGGCTCTTGCAGAAAGTCGTAACCAAGCACGTGACCAAGCCAGCGCAACCTACAGAATGTGATCAGTTCATCTATTCTAGGCTAGTCATTAATTGTCCCGAAAACCGTTTTCGGGGAATGATCGGGTGTTCCCTCCGGACTTATGCAATGCTCCGAGGTCACACACCGATGGTCAAACACCGAAAGGTTTTGGACGCCCTCGGCGCGCGGCAGACAAGTTTCTAAGCCGTATGACATTATTAAGACTGCATACGTAACCCCCCCCGTTGAGGGCTGCATTTTCAGCTCTACTCTATGAAGGCCATCATAGAGGCATTGAGTGAAACACACTCGAGAGGGGACGTCATATGATTTCACTTTAGGACAAACACCCAATTCACCAGTTCTCCATGGATGGCGGCCGATTAGTTCCTGAAATGCACCCGCATCAATAGAGTGCGGCGGGGGAGAAACTAGGATGCCAAAATGACTAAAAATCATGGAGAAAAAATGTCCAAAAGTGACGGATTTTCTAGACACTCGAATCGACTAGATAGACATCAGAAAAGAGTGAACACCTGCGGAGAAACTGGGCAAAGTATGAATAGCTTCTCAGCTGATTACAGAAACTGTGAGGATTTTGGGAACATAGGAAAACAGGTAGTGGAGCGGAAGGTTCGGAATGTAAGCAATTCTGGACAAGAGATCGGTTCTGACTGAACGGCTGTGGATCGCAACAGGCACGTTCAGCGACATTAGTGATTGAATAGCGAGAATAAAACTGTCGGTAATTGACAAAGTGACTGTTGCACTATTCGCTGAGCTTAGCAACTGACCTACATCATCGAGGGGACATCGTCAATGTGCGGTTAGTTGGGGCGGGCTGGAGAATATCGATCACGTGCAAACTACTCGAGAGATGAGCGGAACTCGGCAAGAAAATAGGATGGGACAAGATAGAGGGGAAGGGAACATAGTTAGAGCTTAGAACACATATGAAGAATAGAGTGGACATAGTACTATCCACATCAAGTAGTATAAAGATGTTGAACGACAGGAGACAGAAGAACAGTCGCACTTGATGTAATGGGTCGTGGAAACAAAGTTCATTGCTCTCATTTGCAGACAAATTTGGTTTTGAAGGGACTCATCTACCTGAATCTCTTGTTTATGATATTCTCCAACTGAATGTGCTGCACACAGGCTGCCTCACGATCCAGTTGGCACGACATTCGAGATATCGCAGTAAATCCTCATAAGGGAAACTACTCACAAGGTTGATTAAAACTCTTCGACAGCCCACGACCGGTTTTGCCCTTCTTGGGGCTCATCAGGTAGGCGCAGTCCCCGAGTTTCCGCCAACTCCATGTTCTGCTTGAACCTCCACGAACCACCAGTATGATAGAATTCAAAAGCCGCGCGCGTGGCTTTTTGAGTTTCGGGTTCCATCCTTGGTTGGACCAGCCGGTCCGAATTTCAGAATAAAAAGATGTTCACGAGCCTGGTGTTACACAGAGGACGTCAGAGAGAGGTTGCTCCGGCCATGAAGTACGAGGCCAA